TCGCGGCAAACCCCCCCCCCCCCCCAGCACCCTCTCCCGACCGCGCACATAGCAAAACACTGAACAGAGAGTCAGCCACGTGACGAGACACAAGGGAAGGTGCGAAGATGGGCAGCCAATCACCTCATGGGATAAATCCACTTGTGCTGTCATTGGTCGAAGTTGCACCAGGAACCAATCATGAATGAAATGACCAATCATAAATTCATAAATGAAGCGCGATGCAGCGAGGGATCGCCGTATAGACAGCTCAATAAGATGAACGGCAAATGGATTCTCGGGAGCAGCCGCGTTCTCACGCTCGCGGGCTCTGTGCCAGGAGCCGCTCGGGCGGCGCCGTGTCATCGCTGGAGGTGGCGACGCTGAGCGCCGACGTTCCGGTGGCGGACTTTGCCCGGCGCGAGCGTCTGCCGCTGCACCGGTGGCCGCCGCGAGACGTGGAAGGACGCTTTGACGTGGGCGTGGTCGTGTCCTTCGGTTGTTTGCTCCACCAAAGACTCATCGCCAAGTTTCCCTGGTGAGCAAGGTTGGGATTTCAGTTTATTTTGTGCCAAAGGATGAGCCTGACGTCATCGTTCCACGACTGATGACGGCTGGTTGAAGTGCTCTGCCGCCATCTTGTGGGAGCCATAAGCAATGACAGGCCCTTTTTCTGAGTTTTTTCACGCTCCCCTCCGTGCTGTCATTCTTATTCATGCTCGCTTCACTACAAGTCCAGCGCCACGCATTTGATTTTCTTGGCAACAAACAGCATGGGTCCTATTGCATTGTGTTGTTCAGTTTTGCACCTTCGATCGTTGAACTGTCTTCGCGATCGATGTCAAAGCGGAACGAATGTACGGAGTCACGTAGCGATGCGGTCACGGTGTGTTTTTCTTTGCTCTCTGTGTCAGCGGGATCCTGAACGTGCACCCCAGCCTTCTTCCTCGCTGGCGCGGTCCCGCGCCGATCTTCCACACCATCCTCAACGGAGACACCGTGACGGGCGTGAGCGTCATGCAGATACGAGCTCACGGGTAAGCGGGAAGCAGGGCCGACTCGGGATGGGCGTCGAGCTGTTTTTGTTTTTGTTTTTTTAACTGTGAAACTGGACTTCCACCCAAGACAATTCCACAAACGGGAAGCGTTGCTTAGCAACAACGGCCGGTGGCCGGTGGCCGAGGCAATGCCCGTCGAGTTCACATCATGCAATTACCGTCTAATATTGGACTTGGAAACGGTCACCAGGCCTCAGTCGGCCGCAGTAACAAGCGTTGACTTTTGTGGCTGCCGTTTTGCCACGGCGGTTCCTCGCGCCGTCCATTTCCCGGCGGGTGCCTTGAGGGTCGCTGGGCCTTGCTTCCAGGTTCGACGTGGGTCCCATCCTGAACCAGGCCGTCCACGCGGTGCCCGAGAGCAGCACGACAGACGAGCTGGCTGACGTCCTCGCCGCCGAAGGGGCTCAGCTGGTCGGTGGCACCTCCAAAGCACTCTCTGGTTTTCTTTTTGTTTTGTTTTCCCCCCGGCTCAAATTGTGGTGTCGCGATCGCCCAAGTGATTCCGTCCACCCCTTTTCCTGCAAAAGCAGCTCCTGGACACCTTACGGAAGTTGCCCCGCAAGATGGCCGATAAGCGGGAGCAGAGCCCGGCCGGCGCCACTTTTGGTATGAGCCGCTCCCCGTCGGCTCGCCCGACGGAGGACTGACGTTTGCCGTGCTCCCGACAGCCCCGAAGATCAGCGCCTCCATGAGTTGGATTGTGTGGGAGGAGCACACGTGCCAACACATCGACCGCCTCCACCGAGCCATCGGATCGCGGGTGAGCCGCCGCCGCCCTCTTGTGGCTCGCCATGACTTGCTTGACGCCTTGTCGTAGCTCGCAGATTCCCCAAAAAATCTTTAAAATTAGAAAGATTTCTTTTTTTTTTCGCGTATTAAAAAAAAAAAAAATTCACCACTTGTTTTTTTTTTTTGGAACACTCCTCCCCCCCACCCCCCACCCCATCGAAGTGACATTTTTAAAGGATTTATTTATTCATTAAAACCCCGTGACGATCCGAGCAAATTTGCAAAAAAAGCATGAAACAAAAATTGGAATCACATCTTTTTTCATGATCACAATTTTTAAACAAAATCTTAACCATCATATTTTCTTCTTTTTTTGTCATCAACTCAATTATGGAATCCCTCTTTCATTTGTCTTTTGAAAACGTTCATGTCATCCGCTTTGGAGAAACAAAATCTTCATAAAACACATTGGGATGAATTCTCCCACAATCATCAGAGTTTTGCAAGCGCTACATCTAGAAAGGTCCAGCCTATATTTTCTTGCATATCTCATCATTTTAAAAGGTTTTTTTTTTTCCCCCCAAAAAAATATTTTTTCCTCGTGATCATACCTCTGGAATTTTGGGCGGGTGAATGATGTTTTTAAATATAATTTTTGTGTTGACTTCAGTTTTTCATCATGATTTTAGTTTTTTTGTTTTTTCCTGTATATTCAAATTATTTGAATGAACAGATATTAAAAAAAAAAAAAAATCATAATCACCTTTTTAAGATTTAGAGCCCAGCATTTTCAAAATGATTTGCTGGAATCACGCGGTTTTAAAAAAATATCGACATTTCTTCATCCGGGCAGCACGTCGGGCAAGTGGTTAGCGCTTCGGGCTCGCAGCACAAGAGTTTCCTCCCACGTTCCAAATAAAAATACGCGTGGCAGGTTCACGAAACACTCCGAATTGTCGCGCCGTGCGATTGTGAGTACGAAGCCTCGTTCTAGTCGATGTGCGCCCTGCGATTGGCCGACAATCCGTTTTCGGGTGTCCCCCTGCCGACTGACCCGAGATCCTCCGGCACGCTCGTGACCTGCCTGAGGAGAACCGGATCAGAAAATGGATGGCTGGAGACTTTGTCTTCCTTTTTTTTTTTTAATTGTCTTGTACTTAAACATATGAAAAAAAAATCTGTCGAGAGAGTAATCACCGCAGTGAAACAAAAGTCTCATTTTCCATCATGCTTCGCTTTTTTTGAAAATCTATTTCTCACCTTTTTGAGGAATCATCCATCCAAGCCGCTTCTCCTCAGAAGGGTGGCGTGCATGAAGATCAAGATTATTTTTTTTTCCCTCCTCATCACAGATTTGAACAGTGCTTTGAAAAGACGTGTTTGGGGCCTTCGTACCCCTCCGCTGATGGCTTTTGTCCCTGTGCAGTTTCCTCTGAGGACCACGTGGATGGGCGGCACCATCAAGCTGGTGGACTTTGCGGGGAGGTGTCACATCTCCTTTGCAGGCCAGTCTCGCCGCCGTCTTTTTGTGCCGCTCCGCCTCGGCTATTGTCTGGACGTTCGAATCGTGATTTCGTTGGGTTTTTCAGACGCGGGCGCGGAGCGGATGCCCGGATCGGTCAGCTTTCACAAGGAGTCCAACACGCTGGCCGTCTGCTGCAAGGTTGTTTTGCTTTCCCTGAATCATCGCCGGTGGTCGACTTGCTTGCTTGGCAGTCTTGCCATCTCGTCAAACGTCAGCATTTTATTTGTTCGGGCGGGGCCGGGGGGGGTTCTTTTGATTTCCGTTGGCAAAATAATAGAGCAGTGTCAAACATGCTCCAGAATGTCCTCTCGGGCGAAGGCTTTCTTCGGCGCCGTGTTCCGGAGCGGCGTGGATTGACACATGAGCCGCGATGCCCGTTTCCTTGACGTTTCCGTCATTGGCAACTTTGCGCAAGTTGACTTTTTTAGTCGACGCTTTTCTTCCCGCCCTCTTGGCAAATGTCAGAAATCA